GCACCTCTTATACAAAATGTGGAAAGTGAACTTTCCAGATGTTTATATACCAAAGGTAGGAATAATTGTCGATGATCAAAGCGACTGAAATGGCAGTCACTCTTACAGTCCTGTAGTCTTATTAAGAATAAAACAATTTGAAAAATTGTTTGCTTTCTCCGCTTTGCAGCAAAGTCGGTTTACAAAGTGCACAATTTGTGAACAGTTAAAAGCATAATTGAGTAAGCTGCAAGTTCAAGAGCAGCGAAATCACTTGAGAATGACGAGGAAACTTTACTTTACTCAGCAGATGTAAGTTGAAATTAGATATTTTTTGATAGGTGTCACAAAATCCTCATTAGTATGCTTCAGAATAAAACAAAAACTGTTTAAAATTAATTACAACACCAACAGACCATGCCACACCATGCCCTGTGAATTAAAATCTTAATGATTAAATATGAACGGTGCATCTATATCAAATCATTTTTATATTTTCTCAAGGACAGAAAGGAACAAGTACTACAAACATAACATTAAAACAAGAGTGAACCCAAAATAGTTCTTGTCCCTTATCATTGATGGAATGGACCAAGCAAAACACAACTTGCCACATTTTACTACAAGTACAAAGGTAAAATCAATGCTACTTGTACATGTATTAAATATATATTGTACATATATATATGTTATTTGCCGCCTGGGAGGTCCGTATGGTGAAAAACTGTGACCGAGGTCACAGTTTTTCACCATACGGACCGACCCTTAGCCGGTAAATAACATATTTATTGTTTTTAAACTTGACGAAATTCTTTCCGAAAGAACCCGAATGATTAAGGGCCGTAAATACGGCAAGATCTTCCATAAACTGAACAATTTTTGAGTGAGTAAATGGTAGTTAAAATAGAGGTGATGCAAATTAAAGAGAGATGCCTTAGCGAAACATTTTCATTTCCGTAACGATAAAGGTGATTTAAAAGGCTTCCAAACAAACTTTGAAACATTATTTTTACAAGTATCTGTCACAATCTGACACCTGTCAATTAGAGAGCGCGCAAGAAAAAAAAGCGTAGGAAAATTTGAAAAACAACAGAACTAGTTTGGCAAGGGCTGTCACGACAATGTTTTCTTCAAAATCAGTCAATGATCTAACGGAAAGTATTATTCACTCTCATCGACCATTCATTCATGTATGAAGATTTACCTCTGTTCGTTAAGTAAACGGCGAGGAAAGTAATTGTGAGTAAATTCAATTTTTTTTATTTTGAAGTTGTGAGAGTTTGCTCGTTTGTTTGCTGTAATGGCATGTTTAACTCTGATCTTTCCTTCACAAAAACTAAATTCGAACGGCACACTCCAACGAGACACAAGGGAATGTAATGCAGCCTTTTCTCAAAAAATTCCTTCAATTTCTGTTGTGCAATTTAAGGTACAAATGTCCAAATTGAACGGAATTGGAAAGACTCACCAGGAGCGTATATTTGTTGTAGAACTTAAATTAAAACTTCGCTCGCTCTTTCACTATGAACAAATTGCTCGAGAAAATTCAGATATTAAATGAATGAAAGTTCCATCGTTCAGT